ATTCCCATACAAACTCTTATGATTCCGCCATGACTGTTATCGCGCAAGATGATCATCTCACAGCTAAAGCTTGGGCCGCCTGTGGTCCAGATAGAACTAAATTGAATACTGGAATAAATCCTTCCAAGGTTTTCCTCTGACTCCGAAAATAATCAAAACCTCGAAGTGAACAACTCGCTAAAATGGGCTCTTTTCATCAAAGTAAGCGGTCAGATAACAAATGATACACTGTGGAAGTAAGGCGAGGTATTTTTATTCCTGAGGGCGGTCGTAAATATGCCCATACAAACTCTTATAATTCCGCCATGACTGTTATTGCGCAAGATGATTATGTCACAGCTGGAGTTTGGGCCGCCTATGTTTTTTGCACTTGATGCGCGCGCTTTGCTTATATTTAATTATGATAAGCCATCTCGTATTTTTCCATGTATATTATTAACACGTAATCACATGATTTTTCTCGTGCAATTTGGAATAAACAAGCACTTGTTAATTTTTTCAAAGACCACAAATTGCACTCGCCCTATGGGCTCGTGCAATTTTGTTAGTCTTTAAAAAAATTTACTCGTGCTTATTTATTCCAAATTGCACTCGAAATCATGTGATTACCTATACTAATAATAATAATAATAATAATAATAATCAAACTGCTAAAAAATATTATAACATCTACTGCGTTTTTTTTCTCCATTCCTGTTTCTTAAAGAAGGAATCTCTGACAGAAAAGAAAAGTTATATCACCAATGATGATACGCACGTATTTTTCATAAGATATCATCAAGATCTCATTAGTAATTCTCTTTACTGTCTCTGATACTGTTCTCATGATATTAGTTTGGAGAACCCTGTATCAGATCAACTTATAATCCCTTAATTGATATTTTTATTATTATTATTCTCATCATTTGTCTGCTTGATATTGCATTGATATTGTAAGGAGAAAGTTTGTCTTGATCACTCATGGTAGTTTAAGGGTTAACCTGGTGGAAAAATTGCAAGAAGACTAGTTAACGCGTAGGCTCACTTTGGGCAAACATGCAGTGAAACTTATTTTCGACGCCTAGAATAATTTGTTGAACATCGTTTCCTAAACGATGGAAAATCATTTATTTTTGACATGCGTGGTAACAGGCCAGTGTTTTTCTGACTAACTCTATTCACCCTTGAAGCTTGATTTGTCTGACAGAATAATAAATAAATTTGAAACTGGAATAATGATTTGGAACTTGAAGCTTGATTTGTCTGACAGAATAATTATGTAAATTCATTCAGGAAAAATGAAAATTTACGAATGGCAGCCATGGAACTATATTCAGAGAAAGACAGTTCATCTTTAAAAACAGTATCCTTGTCGTTTGATAAATGAAACCAGAAGCAAGAAACTGAAGGAAAAACTTAACCTGTCATTCATAAGTGCAAATAAACATTCGTTCTTGTCCACGCGTGAGGTGAAGATGGCTGTATATTCGCCGAGAAAATATTTTTTCCGCGTTACTATGGATCGAGACAAAGTGGAGGTCCATAAAAAACGTCAATAAGGCTATTATTCAGCCTTCTTGACCAAACATGCTTGGTCAATAAAGTATTTACTGTATGGCAAAAATATTTCGCTCGGACAAAAATGCAAAATGACCCATTTCTCTCAAGAACTGGAAAAGAAAGCCAACTGTATTTGCAATACGTCAACCTTGACTGTTTTCTGCCGCTTTTGGCGACTCCATCGCCGACATTGTACAAAAAGTAAGAATTTGTTCCCCTGCTCGGGATCAAAGAAGGTGATCCCAAGCGGGAAAGATGGGCCCGTGTTGCCCGTTCAGGTAGCATATTAGATGTAAGGATTCGCTTCATATTGCCTGTGGGCGCAGCCAGCTATATATTACGTCACGTCTGCATTACACTTAGTCCTACAACACGCACGAAATAAGGTAGAGGTAATTTTCAAGTAGCTTCTCCTTTGCAATATGAAAGCATTAATACGCAAACAGGTGATGAGAATACAGAAACTGATCAGCTTAAGGATGCCATTTTACCCAACATCAAATTCTCTAAACCTGTTTTAAAGGAAATGTATGGGAGCAAGAAGGGAGAATTACTAATCAAATCTTGGAGGTAAAAGTTAAAGGGTGGCGTAGTCCGATATTTTTGGCTCATAGATTTATTTTTGTTGAACTTTGTGGCGGAAAATGTCCCTCATTTTCTGAGATTCCTTGGATATCTTATACTCCTATCACTGAAACAAGTTTCCGTACAAAGTATTTTTGAATTTTCAGAAAAGGAAAATAACATTTTTCTAATAGTTTTTATTTCCAAGCTGCTTACCTTACAAACAAACACGCGCCGAGTTTAATGTGTTTATTTGCGTGACATACATAAACCAAAAGCAAGAAACTGAAATAAAACCCGTGAAAGGAAGTTAAATGCAAATAGCAAGAGTCACGCGGCTGAAGAACAAAATATTGATTTGAACGATAAAAAAAAAGGAATCACTGCACATCCAAATCGTCACCAGTTTTAGGTGGGTCTCAATCGGGGTGATGACTTTTACGGCTATTGTTTGTAATTTGGAAAATTTTACGGCTAATTTCTTTCCGTTGCGATTAAAAGAACATTTTCTACAATTAATTTTTTACGACTCGTGGATGAAATTTGTCAATTATCACGCCTAACGGCTACTTTTTTCTGCCATTTTACGGCTACCGCTCAACACTATTTACCCCACTTCAAAATCTCCAATCACCAAGTATGTGCAAGTTTATGACAAAAATATGTCAGGATTTAGAGAGATAGAGTATAAATGACTTAGTTTTTTTAAGTTACTTACCTCTTGAAAAATGTAAAGTTTCCGAGCTCAGTATCCTGATCGTTTGATGAATGAAAACAGATCAAGAAACTCCCTGCAAAACAAAGATTTATGAAAAGAGCCAGTGTTAAATAAATAAATAAAAACAGTAATAATAATAGTAATAATAATTACCGATTTAGGCTGAGATGAGATAAATGGAATCTTTCTCTACTTCTGAGATTGTTCGAAGTGGTGGATGCTCTATTATAAAGATTTCACCGAGTTCCGGTCCAAAATATTTCAGTTTTCAGAGACGAGAGAAGAATATTACTGAAGTTCATTATTCATCTTACCTTGCAAAAATAAATCATGTCTCTTTCGGTGTTATTTATGATGGTATGACAAATGAAACCAAAATCAAGAATCCTAAGAAAGACAACTCCTGACAAAACAAAGATTGGAAAAAAAAACTCGGGTGAAGAGAAATTATGACCTTGTTCAATAAAAAATGATAAGACAAAAATAATAATGCTGATAAGAATCCCTAAAAAAAATATTATAACATCTGTTGCGTTCTTTTTCCTCATACACGTTTCTTAAAGAAGAAACCTCTGACAGAAATGAGGAGTCATATCACCAATGATGATACGCACGTATTTTTCACAAGATATCATCAAGATCTCATTAGTAATTCTCCTTACTGTCTCCCATACAGTTCTTGTCATATTAGTTTGGAGAACTTGGTATTAGATCAACTTAAAATCTCCTAAATGATATTTTTATTATTATTATTCTCATCACTTGTCCGCTTGATATTTTACTGATATTGTAAGGAGAAATTCCGTCTTGGTCACTCATGGGAGCTTAAGTGTTAACGTGTTGGAAAAGCTGCAAGAGGACTAAAAAGTGATCTTCACCCCTTACCCCAGTTTCGAAGACTTCAGAGTTAATACGAAGGTTATTGAGAGGGAAACTAACACGGAACACCCACGCATTTTGTGAAAACGGTTTTGACATTTTGTAAGACGTATTGCAGAAATTTGTAACAAAATCGAGTTACGCATTTTGTAATGATGGCTACAACATTTTGTAATAATCGTCGGTCTACGCAATTTCTAACAACATCCTACGGCAAATTGTAAAATTCTTGCAAAGAAGGTATTATTCCACAAATTGCGGTTTTTTTCCTTTGAATAATGATTTGACAAGCGTCAAGTCAAGCATCAGACTTTAAAGGAATAAGACACAACACGTTTGCAATGGCAACAGAAAAGTATCCAACCGTAAAGGCACACAGCACAGCGCACTGGTTGGGCACACACTTGGCAAGATCACATTTCGCGCTATATCCTTTACAAAACAATAATGTAAACATTTGTTTTCTTTTGGAAACAAATGGAGACAATGTCATGAAGAATAAACCACTTTCGTGAGTTCTTTTCAAGAGATTGTAACAAGAATATTAGCGGAGCTCGCAGCGCGAGGCCCAGAAAAATTCAAGCCTTTTTTCCCAATCTTCGTTTGATACTAGCTTCAGTTTATGATTCAAATCACGTTTCGGTGAAACAATGGCTTTCGTATTCATCGCTTTAAAACCCTCGCGCCCGTTCATCGCTCGAATAACATTTCAGAGTGTTTGTACTCTCAGAATTAATTCTTGTCTTACCTTTTGGAATATTTAATACAGTCGTGGTGTTTAGGGAAAATAAGTTAACTTACGGATTATGTCTTGCCTGGAAAGTTTTAAAATGATAGCGAACGGCGTGAGCAAGTTTCTATTATTCTCTCTTCACTTAGCTATCGCATGGTTTAAATTATATATTTAAAAAAATCGCGCTTTGTTGAAGATTTGTTGTTTTACCCTAAGAACGAAGTGATAGCCTTTCCCAAAATTGAAATATAATGAGATTGAGTCAGCGATGTTCTTGTTTGCATTGAGTCTGACGCGGTAATTTGATTTTGACAACATTGTCATGTGAGAACCCGTCAAACATTTGAGAATATTAAGTTATCGAACGCAGATGTGTGGTGCAAACAAATTCACGGGTAAAATGGAGTAAATTTCATTGTTTGGTCATGGTACTTTTTAGCGCTATGTTTTCATGCTTTCTGCTCGATTCGTTCGAACTTCAAGAAATGTTTTGTCTCACAAAACATGGAGCCACTTTCTCTTCGTTCGACATCAGTCGAGGCGTATCTAATGCTCGGGTTATGATGAACATGCTTGCGATACGATAATTTTTCCTATTGCTGGAAACTGAAGAATCGATCTCTGAAATTGATAGTCATCACATTTTTCAAGAAGCGTCCGAGCTGTGATCGTGTAATTAAACGGGCTCCTGGCAATATGAGCTCACAAGCACGCTGGTAAGCACATGGTTAGCGTAAATAATTGTTGTTAACAGTTGTCGAATTCGACTTTTCGAGAGTCCGTTTCTGTGACCTTCCTGGATATTTTCTGTTGAATTCAATGAGGTACAATCTCGGAATTTCATAAGTGATTATGAAAGATAAATTCTTATCAGCACCATAATTTTGGGGCGTTTTGCTAGCACATTATCAGTTTACAATTCGTGAACCATTTCTGTATTAAACCTGCTTGGATATTTTCTTTTGAATTAATTGAGTCACACTCTCAGAATTTTAATCAGTAATTAAGAACGATAAATCCGTATATGTGGCACGAGTGAGGCACATTTTAAACTTTCCATACGATTTTAGGATACTATACTCAATTGACTCTTGATAAGTTGGCCTGGCATATCGCGTTGATTATTTTATTATTTTGTGGCCCCAAAGGCCCGGCTTATGAATCTGGAGGTACTGAACTTGATATATTTGTTACATAAGGCATCCTTCAAGGAGGAAGGTTAGAATAAAATTTCTTTTACGACCGTATATTGCACCCGGTTTACTTATGTAGATAATTGCTCAAAGTTACCTATTGTAGCTGTGTTCAGGAGCATAGACATGTAATATGCTTTTGCTTTATTTTATTGTAAGAGGTTTCCTTTTATGTAACATATATCCATTCCTTTAAATTCCTCCTTAACCTGCCTGCAAATAATTCAATTTTATGTTTTAATTGAAGTGACTGAGAAGATAAAACAGAAGTGTTGCAGAGCTCTCTTTCCAGAATGAATTGAGGTGAGAACATCAGTAAACTAGTTGATGTCATATGCTTCGCCTGAATCTTTAATTTTAATGGCCTGATTTTTTCACAAAGCCTCTTTTATATCTCTGTGTGCTAGCTAATGATTAAAATCTTTGTGAATAGATATGCTATATTTTAGTAGCTTTTTTAAATTCCATCTTTGAATTTTTGGCTTTTTCTATTTTAAAATTCATAAGTGGCATTCTCTTTTCATCCATGTTAAAAGATATTACACATTTGTTTAACTAAAATCTGAATCATGATGTGAACTTAATTTCAATGAGTTTGAAAGATCATTGTACATAAGAACACTTTACTGGAGTAACATGTATTTGCTGTCTTTCTGGTACATATGATTGCCATATGTGTCTTACCCCTTTAACTCTCAAGATTTCATTAGTAATTCTCCTTACTATCTGCTGTATAATTTATGTGATGTTAGTTTGTAAAATTTGGAATTGGATCAACCATTTATTCTCTAATTGATGTTTTTCTGTATTCTCGTTACTTGTCTGCTTGATGTGATACTGATAGTGTAAGGAGAAATTCCATCTTGGTCACTAGTGGGACTAAAAGGCTTAAAATGGGAGATTTCATTATATTGTAATGATTAGAATTTTCTTATTTTCTTGTTTTTCATGTAACAAAAAATGTGAAGAGAATCTGCTGGTAGCTTATGTCTGTAATGTTTAAATGTTTATGGGAAATGCTTTTCTTTGAAAGCAAGGATACAGAAGTTTTCAAAGCTGATAGATATAAGCTGTTTGCAAGTAATGAAGAGCAAATTGACAATCATACCTTCATACTTAACATGCTTCATTCAAACATGTCAGTTGTGTATACCTACCATTGTAGAGGTGTCTTTACAAAGATTTTTTGGTGTGGCTGTTGTTCTTTGTTGATCTTTGTAGCCAAAAAAGCTACTAAAGGCACTGAACTTCAATTTTTATGTACACAAGGCACCCTCCAAGGTGGAAGAGTAGAAGACCATAGAATAATGTTTATTAGGCATTTGCACTTAACACAATTATACATTCAAGCAATAATCTACACATATTGTTAGTGCAGTGGTCATGGGTTCAAATTCCATACAGCCCTGAATAATTTTTCAGGCCTTTAATTTTCACAACAGTATAACTGCTTATTAATAAGTAGTGTTCTTAACTGGGAGGATTGCTTCCATATTCGTTTCTTCAATGGCATTTTTGTATATTTTTACAATCAAAAATTCCTTTGTTCATCATCATTATCAGTTCTCGCGCCAGTAGCTGCATTAGGCCACCAAATATTATTATAATACTAGTTGTGTAATTGCTTTGCATCTAACCCTATAACTCCCAGATCAAATTTGTAATTCTCCTTACTGTCAACCATACAATTCTTATAATGTTAGTTCAGAGAATTTAGTATTGGATCAACTAATTATCCCCAAGTTGATATTTGTCTTTATTCTCATCACTTATCTGGTTGATACTGTATTGGTTGCCATCCCAATCATCCCTTTAACTCACAGATCAAATTTGTCATTCTCCCTACTGTCAACCCTACAATTCTTACAATGTTAGTCCAGAGAATTTAGTATTGGATCAACTAATTATCCCCAAATTGATACAGTGTTTGTCTTTAATCTCATCACTTATCTGGTTGATATTGTATCAATTGATATTGTAGGGGAAAATTCTTTCTTGGTCACTCATGGCAGTTAAAGGGTTAACATTCATAACAAAGTTTCATTTAACATAGAATGTTTCAAGAACTTTTTTCCTTTCTCTTCAATACCATTTACTATTTCTGGAGACAATTAACCCTTTAACTTCCAAGATCTCATTAGTAATTCTCCTTTTTGTCTGCCACATTGTTCCTGTGTTGTTAGTTTTGAGAATTTGGTATTTGATCAACCAATAATCCTTTAATTAATATTTTTATTTATTCTCATCACTTGTCTGCTTGATATTGTATTGATATTGTAAGGAGAAATTCTCTCTTGATCACAAATGGGAGTTAGAGGGTTAGAGGAAGGAGGTTATTTAAAAAAAATTATAACTTTTCATTGAGGTAATTATCGGAATATGTGAGTAACATTTGGTGTTTTCTTATGTAACAGGATGATCAAGCTGAAGATAGCCTCAAAAAGGAGTGAACTCCACTGTAACAGTTAGGTGACTAATTTGGAAACTTGAGCACTTGGCAAATACACCATAGCTTGCAATTCTGATGATTAAAGTTTGGTGGGGTAATTGAAATGTCAGTCCCCATGCAAGAACCATCCTGACAGTCAATATGCTATGAGATAACTTTAGAAAAATGTATTTGTGTCAGTAGAAGTATTTTAAGTACAGTACCACCTAGTAACAAAAATTAATGATTTCCTGTAAGCATGAATGTTTGGGAGAAGTTATGGTGGTAATTGACAGGATGTATAGGGTCTGATGATTGTAAGGTATATCTTTTAGCTTTCAAACTTTCAACTTTGCATGAATTGTAACTGTTTACCTTATCTATTTCTCTGTACCTTTAGCCCTCAAAAGTTAGCGGGTGACTCAATAACCTGACTTTCTTTGTTTGGAATTGTGTGATTATATAATTTTGCTGAGTAAGTTACTGCATTGTAACATGTAATATTATTATAATTCAGATTGCATTTAATACTCTTGCTCAAGCTTTCATTATACATAGTGTTTCTTACCAATGTTCATACCAAAACTAAACATTGATATCTGGAAATGGTCATGAGATATGTGAGTTTTAAAGGGTGGGAATCTGGAAAAGCAAGAATCCTCCTTTAATTAGGACTGAAATAAATGGGGGCCCTCCTGTTTTAATTCATGATTTTACTTTGACCTGCCTCTTCCCCTGTAATATTTGGGGCACATAGATGAAGAGAACATTTTTTGTATTTTGATACATAAAAGTTAACCCTTTAACCCCCAAGATCTGATTGTTAATTCTCCCCTGTAGCTGCTACACATTTCCTTTTAAATTAGTTATGAGAACTTGGTGCTAGATCAAGATAGCAGCTTCTACCTGATAAGTTTGAATATTCTCATTACCTGTTTGCTGAAGAATGTATGGATATTGTGGGGAGAAGTTTTATGTTAATCACTTCTGGAAGTTAAAGGGTTAAATTAATTGACATCCATATAATGCGCAAAGCAAGAATATAAATGCCTTAGCCTGATAGGTTAAAAATTAAAATAAGAGGATTGTGCAGACCATATCTTACTTTTTACCCTCTTTTGGATATTTATCCAAATAACATAGTCGCTATCAGTCTCATTCACTCTCAATTTCCACTGAGCTTGTGGAAAGATGATAACCTCAGTATTTCTTTAAATGAAGAAAGGAAAGCCTGTCCTCTTACCACAGATAGTTCTTTTGGGCATCATCAGTACAGGCCTGGTTTAATTTGTACATGAAAGTGATTGTTCCGGGTAGGCTAACCTTACAAATTAGTTGTGAAAAATTTTTTGAACATGTTGTGGTATGAATGTTTGACTCAATTTTACCTCACTAACCAACATGTAAACTGTATAAATAGATTACTATTTCGATCACAAATGTTCAATAGAATAGCAACCAGAATTCAATATTTCTTCCAACCATTTTTACACATCTCTGTATATCCGTGCATAGTTCTGTATAGCTGTGTATAGCCCTCTGTTAAGCTGTGTGTGGCTCTGTATACTTGTGTATAGCCCTGTATAATAGTATATAGCCCTGTAACAATAGCTGTGTATAACCCTGTATAGCCGTGTATAGCTCTGTTAAGCTGTGTATGGCTCTGTATTTCTGTGTATAGCCCTTTATAGCAGTGTATAGCCCTGTATAGCTCTGTATTGCTGTGTATAGCCCTGTCTAGCTGTGTATAGCCCTGTACAGCCGTGCATAGCTGGGTATAGCCCTGTATAGCTGTGTATACCCTTATATAGCTGTGTTTAGCTCTGTATAGCTGTGTATAGCTCTGTATTGCCCTGTATAGCTGTGTATATCTCTGTATAGCTGTGTATAGCCTTGTATAGCTGTGTATATCTCTGTATGGTTGTGTATAGCTTTGTATAGTTGTGTATAGCTCTGTATAGCTCTTTATAGCTGTGTATTGCCTTATATGGCCCTATATAGCTGTGTATAACTCTGTTTAGCTGTGTATAGCTGTTTATAGTCCTGTATAACTGTTTATAGTCCTGTATCGCTGTCTATAGTCCTGTATCGCTGTTTATAGTCCTGTATCGCTGTTTATAGCTCTGAATAGTTGCCTACCAAGCTGTTTAAAGATACCGCTGACTAGCATGCCTGTTGATCGCCTTGCAAGTTGTAAAAACATCGTTCCCAGGTTCCAGACCTCGTCTGGTCTTTATGGATGCCTGATAACTGTTTCAGAATGGTTGGACTAATTAAAACCCATCTATTAGTCTACGCAGTCAGCTTCTGCTGTTCTTTGGGATAAGTAAGGTTGAGCTGCTCTGGTCAGTTATCGAATCTTCAACAACCCAGGCCTTCCCCCCGAGTAATCCCCGGGCATTCGACTGTCGTCTGTGCCCAACCAAGGTGTGATGGAAAATCTAAACTGAAAGTGTGAAGTGGAATCCAGGTGTATTCCAATTTTTTGAAGTTGTGGAGTTTCAAGGTAAAGAGCCTGCTTTCAAGAGCGAATGGCTTGAAAGAAAATTTTCCCATGATGCTTTTCACAATGATGATTACAAGCGAAAAACCCAACTGCAGCACCAAAAACTTTTTATTACAACATTTGTTGAACACTCAAAGATTCCTGAATAGAAATTTGTGCTTGAGTGGAACATTTGAACGCAATTTTGGTCGGGGGGGGGAGGAAGGGAGGCGGAAATTTAAATTACCAATCTTCAACAGTTCAAATACTCGGGGGGTCGCCCCGGCAGGGATGTTGAAGTTTTGAATTAATCGACGCTTAATGAGTTCTTTTGTAGAGTGTACATAGAAGTAACAATGACCATAGCTAAAACTAGCTAAATAAAAGTTGCACATCTACACTAATGAGGCGTTTTAGTTTGATATGGCATAGTTTTTGTTGCGTTTTTGCTTATCATCTATACTAGAACGCCCGTAAATGGTGATGAACACGGAGACTTTTTGTCAACATCTTTAAAAGCGAAGCATTCTGAAAACGCTCCGTTTTGTGCGAAGACAAGTGAAAACAAAGACTTTTGAAAACGTTGACCAAAAAATGCATCCCATGTATACTCTTGCTATATATTTCTCTTTGTGTTTTCAGGTGTTCTAATGTTGAGGATAATCGCAAGTGCATCGAAATGTACGCGTTTGTAGATAAAAACACATTATTGTGCGCAATAGAGAGGAAAACAAAACACTAGTGTGAAAAAAAATATTTTCCTTCCTTTTGTTGGAGACAAAGTCAGACTCTTTTGAAAACGCTTGGTGTGGTTGGGGCCGAATGGGCAGGGTATTTTTTCGTTTTTCACATCTATTCGATATCTGCAAAGTGGAAGTTGTCACAGTGTTATAAGTAATAGCTTCGTTGGTAGCTCGGATCGGAATCCACCAATCACAATATTCAAGTTGACCTGGTAACCTTTGGAGTTCAACTTCCACAATTGACCAATCAGAGAACGAGGATTTTGATCTCTTGTTGAAATATGATACATCCTCAATGCATACTCTTATCATCGGCGCCAGAAACAGTTTTATGTTGCGAAGCTTACAACTTCACATTGTGTTACATCGAATACTGTGGTGTAGCAGAGGGTGAGTCTTTGTGAAGTTATGGCGAAATTACGTAAACCCTCTCGTGATGTTAAAGCAGAGAAGAAAGCTGGTACAGTGAAATCTGGTGTTGCAGTCGATAAGAAGAAAAAGAAAGTGAGGAGAAAGGAAAGTTATTCACTTTACATCTACAAAGTGTTGAAGCAAGTTCATCCAGATACTGGAATTACAGCCAAAGCCATGGGTATCATGAACTCGTTCGTTAGCGACATTTTCGAGCGCATAGCTATGGAGGCCTCTCGCCTGACGAAGTACGCAAAGAAGTCGACGATGAGTTCCCGCGAAATCCAAACTGCTGTACGGCTGCTTCTGCCAGGTGAACTTGCTAAGCACGCACTCAGCGAAGGCACGAAGGCTGTAACCAAATACACAAGCAGCAAGTGAACGAGGAGTACGATATTTTCTTCAAAACAACGAGCCTACGTCTGTGTAAAGCTGTGATCAACCAGTTAACAGATGCTGTTGTTGTTTATGTTGTTGTTAACTCACCCGAGGTTTAAATTATCCGACATTTTGAAGCGGTAGAGATGCTTAACTAATTGCTATCGACAGACAAGTTTTCCAACCGTTCTGAAATGACTTAACGAGTGGATATGGCACTTTCCATTGTAGTCTTGTAACTTGTTGAAATAACCAGCCGTTCAGTGACAGAAGTGTCGACTTTAGATCAATTGATAAACTTTTGTATTTCGTATTATCTTTGCTTTCGCTGAAATTAAAAGAAAAAAGGCGTTTCACTTGGAAAATTCCCGGAATACGTGTCCCCAACTATTAAAATGCATGCCTTACAGCACTCGCTGAGTTGCAAAGTTTGGAACAATATTACAAAAGATGCTCAAACTGCTTGTGCTACGCGCAGCAAATTAATTTTTGTTTACAATTGCTAAATATTGATTACAAGGCAATGAAACGCGAGCGAGGATTCCTTGCCTTCCTTCCCAAACGATGTATCGCAGACGTCAACGCGAGAACCTCCTTTCCTTTTTTCAGTTTTCCGGACTCACATTTTGTCGGATCTTCGTCCACTGCCAGAGAACGGGGCAATATCGATTTCGAACGTAATGGGCTTGTGGAGCTTTCGTAAGTGAACCCGCGTTTCCCCACGCAAGAAAAGCACCTGGGAACTGAGACTCTTCCTGGAGAATTATTCGTGGTATTTTAGAAAAACCAGAATTGTTGAATATTATAAAACAACAGAGGAATTGGGGATATTTTGAATAAGAATGACGCCGAAACCTTGTGATCTTCATTAAAACGAAATGCTAATTTAAGGGTTTCGTTTCACTAGCCGATAATCGCACCATAACCTTGCAGCTCTGTTCCCCAGGCCTCCTAGAATCCCAGTCACCCTAATGAAAGGAAAGTGGTTCTTTAAACTTTTATTTTTCATTTTCCTCTTTAATGAGAAGAATATTCAAGAATATTTGACAGACTATCAGGAAAATCAAAATCATTCGGGGAAGAAATCTGACCGTCCGTGAGCTGAACTCGACTTTAAAGTTCAAGCATTGTTTTTAAGTCTCTCGTTGAATATTATCTCTGGACAAAGAAAAGGTGTGAAGAAAGTCATTCCTTTGGTCTTCACACGCCTTGCAGCGTCAGGATTGGCAAGTTGGAGAGTGTACCTCTGTAAAACAGAAGCAACAACTATTCGGGTGATTGCCAGGGCATACCGATAACCCAAGCATTTCCTTGGACCCATACCAAAGCGGAAGAGAGAGCCTGGCACTGGTCTTGCGCCGTTCGCGAAGCGACTGGGGTCGAATTTGTCAGGGTTTCTCCAATACTTCTCGGAAAAGTTCAGTGACTGGGTATCCACGCAAACGGGAGTCTGTTTAATGAGATAAAAGGGCTACGTCAGTTTTTGTTAGTTTAAATGCGCAGGCAACGCATTGTACTCGCGTGAGGTAATGTAAACACGCGAGGAGTAATTTTTATCCGCGTGTTACTCGTTCGCGCGCATTGCTTCAAATCGCTTGCACCCAGCTCTCTAGGAACCCGGCAAAGGACTCAGATTTCAAAATTATATTAGGCAGAAAATGCGAGATCTTGCAATAAAAATGAATTTCAGCTTTTTTAACTGTAAGGAAAGTGAAATATTCACGTTTCATTAACACTGATTTAGGGCTAATCATCAGTTCAGTAACATATGGTGAATCTTTTCATAAATCTCGTGCCCAGATCCTACCGCGTAACTTAAATATAAGGACCTCACAACCGCTTAGCCGTGGAGGGTCTGGGTACGAGACTATCCCTCCGACTCTCTACTGAGGATCGCCTGTTCGCCTTTCAGGGAGCCTAGGGAGAGGAAAATAGCTGGCACATGAAAGAATTTTTAAGATGTTCCTCACCCCTTTTGGAATTTGATAACCTCCAATATCAGTGACAGGTTTCACTGTTCTCTCAGGAAGACTAAGCGCCAATGCTGGGTTCATCCGGGCACTTTCTTTCAAAACCATCTCCATATAAGGTAGCTTGTTATCCAGGTCTTCAGATGAACTCGGGTCAGCCCCTAATAATATATCGTCTACTTCCTGTTGAACTATTTCTTGAACGGAAGTGTAACGAGCAAGATCGGCCAAGGCAAACGAAGTGGCAGCGAAGCTGACGTCAATATTCAAGAGCAGGATTTCATTCACAGAATGAAATAGCTGTGCCAGATATAACAAAGACAGAAGTGAGTACGGAAAGGGTTTTTTTTCTCTTCTTAAAATTTATTTTTGGCCTTTGTTGTTGAGATAGGACGGAAGTTAAATGGATGAATAAATCAGTGGTTGGATGGGTACATGGATCGAATGAAATAATTAAATAAATGAACGAACGAGCGAAAAAACGAGGGATAGATCGAACGAGCGATCAAACGGGGGATAGATGGAACGAGCGATCAAACTAACGAGCAAACGAGCGAATGAATGAATGAATGACAGAAGGAAAGAAGGAAGGAAAGAAGGAAGGAAAGAAGGAAGGAAAGAAGGAAATGAAGGAATATAAATGAACGGACTAACGGAATGATGGACTAAAGGATCAGAAAAGGATTGAAGAATTGATAATAAATGAATCAATAAAATAAAGGAAGACCTTTCGTCTACCTCTTGCTCTCCCAAGTCGAGTGCGTGAGTCTTCAGTTGTTCCATCATGATAAAGAATAATCCATCATTAGACCTGAGTCGTCCCTCCTCGTATTCTTCAAACAAGAAAAGGTTAAACGCCTCCCATGCTTCGTTGAAGGCCTGAGTCGTCTTGTTCACCTTACTAGGAACATAGGAGTAGAATGGCAGCCTGGTTTCACCCACATTAAACTGATTGACGGCATCCTGAAGCAAATCACTGACCTCCATGATACGTTGGAAATATTTTTGTAGGACTTCTTCTCCGTAGACGACTTGCACAAGTACACGAAGTGTGACGTTGGCAAGACCCTCCTTTTGAAGATCCACCGGCCTACCAACTGGTAAGGAATTTAGGAATGTGGTGCACTCTCGTCCAATCGTACGCAGAGTGGCCGAAACAGCACTGGAAGAGAAGTATTTCTCGAAAGGGCCGCGGCATCGTCTCACCTCGTCACGCCCGTGGCTGGTTGCCAAGCAATTTCCTAAAATGTCTTTGAAAACGGTGCCGAGGCAGGTGAAATCTCGGTCGCGCTGGTGCGAGTAGTGGTCGGTATAGAACGAGCGAATGGCATCTGCGTCAGCTAAGATCCTGCGAGGATATTATAAGAAAATAAAAGACCATGAGTTCTTGATCGATGTATGATAAAAAATACATACATATAAAGCACTAAGTCTAGCTATTTCGGAAAAGTTATGCATCTTAGTCGTAAGAACGAATTTCCTCGACTCCAGACTCCAGACTAAAAAGTATATACGGCTAGATCGGCTCAAGAGAGCTATCAAGCGAGCTGTCACGCAACGAAGTTTTGGCATTACGAGACATCCTCATGAGCTCGGAGGAAATTGTTTGCAGCCCAGTCATGATTTATTTCTTGGAGAAGGGGAGGGGGGGGGGGGGTAGTTGGGAGATTTTAAGGGAGAGATACATGGTTTTTAGGGGAAACGGAGAGGGGATCAATCGTAGCCAGCAGAGTATAAAGGAGGAACAATAGACCGCCAATGAGAGAACATAAAGGGTCATTAGGTAAATTGTATTATGACACAACCAAAATCCTCTGGCCTGCCCCAGGCGATAAATAATGAGAGATCCTGGTAAAGGCGTTACAAATATTTTCAGTAGACATCTTAACGGCTCATTCCCAAATATGGCGAGCAGTAGGGCCGAACATTAATAAACCAGTTTTGTCATGATTGAATGTTATATAAATCAGAGACACCTGAAACTACCAATTAAAGCATTTCGACGCGTTTTTGTTTTCATTTCTGAAAACCAGCCTTGGAAACGGTGATTTATAAAGCAGAACTGCATTTTAATCAACTCATTCTTCCTTTGAAGAACTGTGTATTGGTTGAAAAATTATCGGCAGTCCTTTCGTGTCTCCATAATTAAGATTACAATCCAGGTGTACCCCTGCAGAGGAACGAGTGATTGCACCTCTTGTAATGAGGTTTAGAAATTTAGGAATGGATTAAACCAAAAGATACTTACACAACTGGTGTCAGACAATGCCAGATGTAGTAAATTGGGCCGTGTATCTTGGACAGCGGTCGACCAAAGAAATTCACTTGGTGAAAGTGCCCGTAAGGTAGGTGTGGCAATTCTCCTCGCATTCGTTCTCCTTTGGCATTTTTCCATGGGACTCGCCAGTAAACTAGTGCAACCTTCAAACAATAAAATATATAGATAACTCAAGCGGGTAAAACTGAGTACACACTTACATAGCTTTTTATTAGGCGAGTGAAGATAAAAGCGTTAGGGCGAAGGCTTAGGAAACGTGAGGAACACTCCTCCTCTAGCGTGGAATAAAAGAGCCAGGCCATCTACCTCTTGAGTCACAAGTTATGGTCTCCTATGCACGCACGGAATAAATGAGCCACGCGCCCACCCTTTCGCCCCGCCACGCGTTCTTCCACGCGCGCCTCTCGCACGTATCTCGTTCTTGTGGCTCTCCTCGCTCTTTCACCGTCAGCCCGAAGTCGCTGAAATACGTTGAAAAGAAATAATGTCTGTTTTGCTGACCAACTCTTAAATTTCCTCCGCTGCTTGTCAACATATTAAGCGTGATTGAGTTTCCTGTTTTGTTGTTTTTGCCAGCGATTTTTCAAATCGTGACTTGAGATGAACTACAACAAATTGTAACTCTTGACCGGATGTTTTTTTACGTTCCAATAATCTAAGGGACTTTAGGGTCGGAGGGTGTTCCTTTTCCCGTAAGGTCAAATGAAAAAATAATGACCTTTGATTATACTCACTTTCCATTTATCCTCTTTGGTTTACAAACGGTTAAGCTATATATGCTAGGTAAAAGTGCTTTATTTTTTTTTTGAGGTTTGCCGCTCGCCGCAAATGACTTTATCTAATAAGGCATCTATTAATAAATAGTATCGCATTTCAATCAACGCAGAGCGTTATGACGCTCGCCAACACTTTTTGTTGAGAACGTTCATTGAAACATTCGTTCCATAAAACTGTTCAAGCTTTTGTCAAAAAGCGAATTTTAGAACATAGAAAAACACGGATATTTCGGGTAATGTTTGATAATATTCGGAAAATCTTCGGAGTTTTTTCAGAAGTATTTGTGAAAATCTTGGGTGTATCATCGGTGCCGATTAATCACTTTAAATAAAAAAATTACTTCATTTGAATGATTGAATTGAATGAAAAACAAAAACAGACTTTCGGATAATCTTCGGAAATTTCTAGGAAAATTTTCGGAAGTTTTCGAAAATATTCGGAGTCTTAAATTCAGCCGGAATTCCGGATTCCAGGTTTTTTCCAGCTTACTACAAATTTCGCGTTGCCTCTAGTCGTGTCAAGTCGGCTCCTGAGAATATTTTGTTCCAACGATTCTTTGCACAGAAACGGGATCACGGCGCGCATGACCTCTATGAAAGACGTTTATTTTAACATCGATCTAATTTAATTTAATCCCTCAAGTTTTAGGCGACGTAATTCATTTCGAGATTAACGAAAAGTTGTCTTTAGAATTATGCACAGAGAAACTTTCGTGCGAAAGTCTGTGAACCGTATGGACTCTCCTGTTCTACCCAAGCTGTGTATCAAAACATTTTGTCGGACAGTGATTGTTTGGCAGTGATTATTATTGGAGGAATCAAGAAAATGAAATACACGAGGTACCTTCACTAGTGATAATAAATACTTACCTGAATACTTCGATACAAAAGTGACCGCGTGAGAAACAGTATTACAAGCAAAGAGGTGACTAAACCAAGTGCTTTCCATTCTTCGAGCATTTTGAAATCCTGCACAAATGCACGCGATTGTGATTGTCTTTTAGTTAGTGCAATCTTAGGCCGAGAGTTGGAAATTTTGCAATTCCGAGATTTATAACCTGTAGGAGCTCTCAAATTCTCTAAAGGACCATCGCTTGCGATGTCTTTTCAGCAAAACTGTTGTGCAAAAAGGAATCATTCGCTTCTTAATTACAATAGCCACGTCATCCGAGTTTCCCGGAAATTTATCCACCGGAACTTTAGAGAACTCGTGACTTCTAAATCATCAGGTTCTTTCATTTTTTTTGTTTGTTGTTTGTTTCGTTTTGCAGGTTCAGACATACCGATACTTATAATCATTTCCGAAAATAAACTGATTACTAAGAAATGGCACCAAATCGAGTGGTTTTAAATGTGGAGGCTGGCAGATACCGTTCCATCGAAGCCGAGGGCAGTACTTGACGAGCACAGAGTGCACGACATATCAACGCCGGCATTCAATTATGAGCATTTCTCAGGCTGTTCTGAACGGTGAAAAATATCAGCTTCAAAAAGAACTGTGATTCTTGGTATCAGCCCTGGCAATCCGCATTATTACAAGATAGAAACCCTCGAACGGTTGTTCGATTTAGCCGGAAGGACCTCGGAAAAGGTGAGTTCATTTTATATGATCCATCTGAGAGAATTACTTTTGGAGTATGTCTCGTCAACACGGATGAATTAACGAAACGCCTCTCTAAGAATCATCCCTTTTTTTGCAGGTCTTTCTCTTTATTCCGGACAAAATATCCGAACACAACTATCGTGCTGTAGGTTCCAAGAACCCCGAGAAGTCCGCGCGTATCAAATGTAATCGCCTGCGAAACAAATGCAATGAAGCCATCCAAAGTAGCGGCCTTCGCGATGTGTCCCACAGCTTCATAAGGTGGACAGAGGAGGTGGAAAGCTGTCATGAATACAAAAAGGCCTTAGAGAACATCAAAAACCTGTACGAAGTGAATGATGACTTTCACAACGACGTTAGACAATCTACCGTGGTGGCATTAAGATGTCTCAAAAACGGCCGTGAGAAGGGAGGTTCTGATGAGGAAAACAAATCAGCTGAGGCCGACAGTAACGTAGACTTGGACGAAGGGGTGCAGTATCTTCTGAAAGAGCTGGCTTTCTTTTTAGCAGTGCCGAACATTTATAAAGATTGCAATAATTTTGTTTTTGTGTATCATCGTCCCTGGCCAGTTTTAGAAAGGTTCTTTGGTGGGTTTTATGATGGTGTTGAAAAGCCATCTTTAGGTTTTGTCGTTTTTGAATGACATACTTTAGATATAAGCCATCAAGTCGAGGACAGCATTAAATAATGTTTAAGATAAGAATAGACACAAAGTTACTGGAAAAAAAAACGCAATTGACCCGTAGTCGATCAGTAATTACAATGAATGTAGATCTTTTGAAAATTATGATATCTGGTATGTCTGCACACATTAACACAACATTGTAAAAAGCTGTCACAAGATTTGTTGCTAACAACCAATAAATTATCTGCACCACATTCAAGATGTGTTGTCTCACTGACTCAATGTATCGATTGCTCAGTCCCTGACACCTTTGTCGGCACAAGCGGTTATCTACTACCTTTAAAATGCATCACCAACGATATGAAATAGAACTGTGTTCTTTGCGAATTGATAATGTAGCGAGTTTGACAAACTAGTTATCACGAAACGAGTAATTTTAAGAATTAAATAACAGAAAATCCTAAGGACCGTTCGCTTAACATTTCAACTGGCACTTAACTCCTGTTTTTAAAAACCTTTTGAGCCTCGGCACAGTTCATTCTGAAATAGACCGTTTTAGGAAACTGAAATGGAAATATAAATTTCCGGTTTTAGACATGAGAAGAGCGAGCAAGATGAAAAGATCTCGATGGTATTAAACAGAATTATGTTACTCGTTGAAAAGAGCTCAAAAGAGAAACTATTCCGTCTGTTTAATCAGCATTTTTCACATTCAATATTTCCAAAACGGATGGAAAATAAAAATACCGATTCGTTTCACCAGAGTTCTGCAAAAACTGAAAGGGGTTTCCACCACGGATTCAGCTTTCCTTGATTTATATTTCCCCGAGAATATAACATCACAGCACTTAAGGTTTGCGTCACTTGGAGTTGTCTTTGAGTAAAATAAAACAGAACATTGTGAAAAAAAGTGAAAAAATTTTAATGGTCGCTCCAAGGTAGAAAAGAAGCAAGAATGAAACAATAAGGAGCCAAGAGATAGCGAAGGATTAAAGGTGATGAAACAGAAGAAGCACAACTTATTACATCAGATCTGGAACAATGATGGAACGGAAGTCTCTGCCATAATAATTATTGTGTCATACTTCTCGGAAAACTCCCACGCAGCTAATAGCAGTTACTTTGTTTGAAAATACGTACCCCGGGGGCTATGTGTATAGCCCATTTCCACGAAATTTACTCGAACTTTGACCACATTTAACAGCTTAAAAATGAAACATGTCAAATCACGTAATTCCGAGAACGATTCCAGCTAAGTAAATAGCACCTCAATGTATTTTATTCCCGCACATTACCGGATTCACCTCTGCGCATAACCAGGACGTGAATCGTGGTTTCTGTTCGAAATTAGAGACTGTGCAGCTGTTAACGGAACAGAGTAAGTATGGAAATTCCCTGGAAGCTCTACCTCTCTTGCTGGTTCCTTGGCGCCGCGGTTCAAAGCGGTGTTCTTTACCTTCAATGCAGCGGATTATTTCAATTACTTTTTCCCAGATCAGTACAAACCTGAAGTCTACTTAGGAGTCACCGTCGGCGTTGGTGCAAGCTTGGGTGCGGTTTTGACGGTATTTTTTCAACCCAAAAGAAGCCATCTGACTGTACTTGTTGTCACGCTAACAGTTTCTGCGATTCTCCTGGTAATAGAAGTAGTCGTTACTCCATTGAACGCAAACGCTTTATCTAATCCAGCTCGTTTTGGTTCAGTGATTGCCGTTGTCTTGTGGCAACCGTTGTTCAAAACGTGGGGGGTGGGGCTCTGTACGGCTTCGTTGGAAAGCATTTTCCGAAATTTGGAATTCACGCGGCACAGTCCGGCGGTGTCTGCGCTTTCGCGGCGACGTTTATCATCAGGTGCATCTCCAAAGGGTCGTTTGAACATCTTCGAGACAGAGATCAAGGTTTTCGTCTCAGCGGATATTTATTCGTCGCGTTGGTGGATCTGAT